GCTTCATTACAAATTTGCTCGGTGCATGCCGCCGAGCTGGGAGATTGCTTTACTGCTGCAGAGCTGAGCTACTCTGCCTTGCCGAGCTGGACTGCTGCGCTGCCACCGAGTTGGACAGCCTTGCCGAGCTCGACTGCTTTGGTGCTGTCGAGCTGGGCTGCTGTGATGGTACCGAGCGGGACTTCCTTGCCGAGCTGGGCTGCTGTGATGCTGCCGAGCTGGACTTCCTTATCGTGCTGGGCTGTTGTGATGCTGCCGAGCTGGACCATTGACGAGCTGGACTGCTTTGCTGCTGCCAAGTTGGGCTGTTATGTTGCTGCCGAGCTGGACTACTTTGCCGCCGTTTTCAAGCTCGAGCTCATCTTATTTCATTGAGGGTGCCCCATTTATGAGCTTATTTGTCTAGGAACTTTCATGGTCTTGTGCTCACACTCTTGCATCATGGCTTCCTCTCACTGTCTCAAGCCGATTCTTTTATGCTTGCAGCTCGTGTTCATGCCACCGAGCTGGGAGACTGCTTTACTGCCGCAGAGCTGAGCTACTCTGCCTTGTCGAGCTGGGCTGCTGTGCTGCCACCGAGTTGGACAGCCTTGCCAAGCTGGACTGCTTTGGTGCTGTCGAGCTGGGCTGTCATGCTGCTACCGAGCTGGAGCACTGCTTTGAGCTTTGCCACCGCCGAGCTAGACTACTTTGGTGCTGCCGATCTGGGTGACAGCTTTGTCACTGTCGAGATCGGCGACAATTTGTCGAGCTGGGAAGCTGCTTCGTCGCTGCCAAGCTAGGGGACTACTTTGTCACTGCCGAGCTGTGTGACTTCTTTACCGAGCTGGGGGGCTGCTTCGTCGCTGCCGAGCTGGGGGGGCTGCTTCGTCGCTGCAGAGCTGAGGGATTGCTTTGTCATTGACAAGCTGGACTGCCTTGTCCTTGCCGAGTTAGGCGATGGCTTTGCCAAGCTGGGCAGCTGCTTCATCGCTGCCTGGCACTAACGAGCTGGGCGGTTGCCTCGTCGCTGCCATTAAGCTTGAGCTCGCCTTGCCTCATCGTGGTCGCCACTTTAATGCTCCCGTGCTAACCATTTCTCTTTATTTATTATTACCATATATATATATTTTTTTTACCACTTTGAGTTGCCTTAAACTTCTGCTTTGCTGACACCCCTTTTTCTTTTTGAATCTTCATGGTTGATATTGCACCATGCGTGCCTTTATTTCATTAAGTAGAACCTCGATAGTTGTGTAAAGCTAACCCCTTGTTTGTCTTCTTGTGAAAACTTCTCTTTTTGCAGGTGAAGCTTCTCTTTTTCATAGATGAATAAAACCATTTTGTAAATTCACCAGATCGACTTCTGCAACTATCTGCAACTCACGAGAATAAGCCACGAGCCTTTCACACATCTTCTCCTCCCTCTGAACAACCGGATCAACATAGAAATAAAGTTTTTTGTTCGAGTTACCACAGACGGCGCCAATATTTCGGCAGCTTCACAATCCAACACTGTTGAAGTCTTCAGCTGCTTCTACACCTGAAAATCTCGAGGATGTTTCCTCGGGGAAAACACTCCGACGCTCAAGTCAGCAATACTCAATATTCTAGAGAGAGATGCTCTCAAGGAGTAATTGCAGAGAGAGAAGCGTAGAGATTAATTACCTTCTTCGGAGGTGGTTGGGGGGTATTTATAGCC